GATTACATCCCAGTCGCATCGGAGCATGCAAAGCACCTGCCTATGAATCCACACTGCAGGAGGATTCCTTTCAATCTCAATCAGAAGCGTGCGGGAGTGTAGAAAGCTTGCGCAAGTACAAGTACAGATCACTACGCACAGACTGCAGCTAAGCTTCTGTACAACACACCGTGGCCATTTGCACCAGTGACCAAGGCCAGGAGTGCGAGCGAGCAAATCGATGTGCATGTAAGCATGATTGTCTGCCAGCAGGCACGCTTGAGCTTGCAACGCAGGGAAACCACTCACGCCAGACTCCAGACTTGCAATGACGGGGCAAGATAAGTCATGGTCTCGTTGTAGGGTCAACATGTCTGCGCCGTCATGTGCCAGCCTTGCCGGAAATGAACTTGGCCAGCACTGGTGCTCCGAGGAAGCCAGGCCATTCGACCAATGCTCCAATCTGAGCAGCTCAACGCCTCTATGCTACCTGATGCCAGCCTGACCTGCAGGATGTACTCTAAGGCAGGGACCATGAGGACAACCGCCGGACTGTGAGTCGCTTCGGTCTCGGTGAAAACCTGGGGCAATGTGCGCAGAAAAGCGCGCGATTTCTCACTGGGGCAAGCGCCTGTGGAAACGCGTACAGGCTTCCTTGGCTTCACGTGTGCATCTTGGGTGCAGACACAATCCAAACAGAAAACTTCAACCTGCACTTCGTCCAAGGAGCCATAGAAGCCCAAGTTAAGCATGAAGCAGGTATACATCATGGTGATGGTGATAAAAATCCTCACTGAACCCTGCACATTTACAACTTCCAACCAGGCGACTCGTACAAAATCAAACGTACCATGAGCAGAAATGCATCGCGAGGTGCATGCTTCTGCGCACCAGCAAGGTTACAACAGCTGTGATCCAAAAGTAGTCTCAGTTGCATAGATCGAGAAAAGACCGTGGCAACGTGATCTCGAACAGATTTGGGTGTCCTCCGACAGGCAAGGAACAGATTTACTGACGCACAAATGCAGCATTGAGCACCTCGATTGCTTTGCGCAGCCAAGCGTCTGCCCCACTTGAGAAACCGTCTCATAGTGGCATGACACATCATGCGCTCCATTTTGAGCCCTGGTGTCAGACGATGGGGTCAGCGAGACTTCTCATGGGGTCATTTTTCAGAAGTTACCTGCACCTTGACTCCTTCTTTCCATTGTCTGGTTAAATTCCCCTTGCGCCGAAGCCCTGGATGCATGACTCTTCGCACGTTCGGCCCCGTGAAAGGGCACGCGAGGAACAACATGTAGCTGAGTCTCTACCACCGGTAACAATGACCAGCAACTTTGGCGCGAACGGCAGATTTGCAGCACTATTGCAGATGGGTCTTGAAGAAAGACTCGAGTAAACCGCGGCACTCCAAACTTTTGCCAAAGGTGTTCTCAACTGCAATCCAGCCGCTTCAAAGACTCCAGAGTTGCCAAAGCTTCATGGCGGTAACCATTCTCCTCTAGGTACGCAGGTGACTCCTGCAGCAAGGAAAAGTTGAGAGCATGTCGCAATTCTGGACCCGCCGGACTATGCTGCAACCACGTCACGTGCAGAAACAGGTAGCTGAAAACCAAACCCACGATAGAGGGCACTGCTCCCACCATACACAGCCAGCCTGACCATCTGTGATTCCAAAATCAAGAAAATTGCAAGGTTGCAGAGAACAGTGATGGGCTTGAGCAAGCTCTCAGTGAGCAAGCTTGCCGTCTCTGCTGCCCAGACGCGCCAATCCAACGACTTCATTGTTGGGTCATCTATCCTGCGATGCATGATAACAATCGAGCGCAAAGCTGACGACCCAAAAACGACAGCTGGCACATTCACATGTGCCACGCCATGCAAAATCACGAGGCAAGCGGCCAAATGAGCCATGCTGCGTAGAGCTCGCCAAAACAAAACCTCATGTACATGCAGAACAGGACAAAGTTGAAACCATCTTTGCATATCTCTGCATCCGATACCCTTATATTATCCCAATACAGGGTAATATAGGGTTATATAGGGATAATGGAAAAGAAACTGGAAACTACCGTTTAGGGTTTCCTGGCCTGGCCATGCTTCAGCCCACAGAAGGGCCCTGAACCCTGAAATGGGACTCAGAACCTGGCCCCTCAACCCTGAGCCATGTCAATGGTGTCCATGTTCTTTTCCATTATCCCTATAGAATCCCATATTACCTCTGTATAATAATAGTTTCCATTTTCTTTTCCATTATCCCCAAGGTTCAAAACAGATAAAACAGCCAAGGTGCAAGGCCATGGCTTGGCCAATCAGCAGGTAGCGCCACCTGCAGTTGATATGGGGCAGCTACAAACAACTTCCCCCACATCCACTTACCGGTGGTTAGTAGGGAAAAAGGGGATGATCATCATATTGGGATTATGTAGGGATGATTCCCTACTAATCCCCAGTAAGCCACATCTAAGTGCACTTCAAGAGCCTGGCCTGCTTGGCGAAACTTCCTTAGTTGGCCCATGGATGCAGAAGTGCTGGAGATCATGCACGTCTGGGCGAACTCTCTACCCAATTCTTGTTCCAAGGCTACAGTGTTACAAGCAGTCTGTGGAATCCATCGGCCCGTTTGGTCAGTTTGCCGCTTGGGTGAAAGACGAGCTTTAAAAGAAACGGACTTTTGCAGTTGATGTCTGCAGCAGCAGCAGCAGCACCGGTCTTAGCCAACTCCAAACAGCTCAATGAGTTTGGGTGCCAACTTCCGACGCACTCCCGACTCTTCAGCCTGTTGCACCTTCACCGGAAATTGCACAAGCTTTTTGCCGCTGGGTTTGTTGCAGCATCCGCCGGCATGTGCAAAAGTAACTGGAGGCCGAGCCGCACTCATCATCGTCGTCGCCCTGGGTTTGTCCAGACTTGACACTAGATATCTTGAGACGCGGACTGGCTGCCTCCTGCACGCAGCTGAGGCTTTGGCGCAGGCTGCCCCAGGCCGAAGGCAAAGCCAACAAAAAAGCGCACTATGGACATGGACGGGAATCCTGCGGATGCGCCGTTGTAGGTGTCCAAAGCCCACAAGCCCACGCACAGCAAGGAGGCAGCGTCCTACGGTCGACGCGGAGAGGACACTAAAGAGCACGATGCCCAAGTAGGAGAGGAGAATCGGCAGCTTCCGGCCCAGGCCTTGGAGTCATGCACACCTCACAGTGCCTCACAGCATCTCAAAGCCGGATCAGCCACTGCGGGCGAGTGTCCATCACCGAGCCTGAGGTTGAAAAGAGCTTGCAAAACAGCATTTCACAGAAGATCTGTTCATGCAGGTTGCGGTCCGCTGCAGGTGTTACCCAGCAGGATTCCAATGAAAACGATAGAGACAATTGAGCCGCGTTGGAAACCATCAAGATTCCACCTTGCAGCAACTTCTGGCTCGAATTTTGAATGATGATTTCAGTGTCAGCAGCTGTCAGCATGCAGCAGCTCATGCAGTCAAGCATCTCCTTAGCCACCTTGGCGCAGGCAAAGTCAAAGAGAAGTCTGAAATCCCCAGCTTGCACAAGGCATAGCTGCAACCGTTCAGGCAAGGCACGGCCCCAGTAACCGAACCTTAATCTGGAACAATATCCATAGCAATGTTGAGATCTTCAACTTGTTGGATGCTCCGTGGTCGAAGAGCGAGAGTATCATTCTGAAAATTTTGCCCAGGTTCCAAGAATCAGCAGCTCAGACCCGTCTGCAATCCAGATCCCGCCACCCAGCAAAGCTGCGATAACCTGTCCCAGCGCATCTTGCTCTTACTGCCAGCTCGGTCAGAGGAAACACTGGAGAGCCGGGAAGGAAGGGCTTTTTTTAATGTGCAAATGGCAAGTCTATTTGTGAGACCCTGGAGACAAGAATGTCAGGTCTGCCTGGGCAGGTCCGAACCCAATTGCTTCAATGACCTGGCTGCAACTGGGTGCAACACGTCGCTCACAGCTCACAGGTCTTCACACTGCACGAAAAATCTGACGTGCCAAGGACGATGCTGTCTGTAGGCTTCTCTTGACCTTTAGCTTTGACCTTGCAGCTCTCAGCAGGTCCACATCACACGCAAAGCGGCACACCAGCAAAAATATCTGAGATCCGGGCTCCGCAGCAGGCAGCAACACCATGACGCTTCAGCTTCTCAGTCCCTTTTGATGATGGCCTTTTCAGGCCACTCTGTACATGCAAAAACCTTTCTGCCATGTTACCCTTTTCCATGGCCTTCGCGGGAGTCACTTTTCTGGATGCCCGGCACAGCCACAAGGGACTGAGAGCTTTCAAGCGTCAATTCTTCATTATGGAATGCCTTTGAGAACAAAGGCTGCGCAGAAACGGCGAATATCGCGTGTGGCCACTGCATCTCCCACAAAGATCTGCGGACACATGCTTGGCTGCAACTCGTGCACAGGCTGGGGATCCGGGCTCGCAAGAGTAGGCCAAGTCCGCTCCTGCCATGTGGACTTGTGCAACAGACCGCGTGCTGCTGCTACTTCTAAGTAGCATTGAACACAAGGTGAATTCAAACTACTATAGTAACTGGAGTGGATGCTGCCCCACTTGTTGTCAGCGTAAAGGGCTTTTGCTTCGAAGAGATCCGCAGCAGTGCAGGCTCCCAGAGTCTGCAAGCATCCGCAGGCCTGCAGCGGGGTCCTCGACCACCTCATGTCGCGCGCGATCCATGCAATCCAAAGTGCGACTCTGTGCTCCACGCTCACTCGATATTCTTTTCAACGTTTTCAACGCAGATCTGAACTTGCTGCATGAAGACAAATGTGGCTGCATTTGCTCTGCCCTGACTTTTTTTTTGCTCCGCAGCGGATATGTACTAGAAAACGATTTCGCCAACTTCGTCAGTTGACTTCTGCTAGTGAATCTGGAAACCAGGCCACAGCTTCAGCCGAGCCTATGGGCAGCACTCAAGCGCAAAAATGCCTGCGGAAAGAATGCAGGCAGTGGCACGAAACTGGCGCAAACCCACTTCCCTGATTTGCTCTGAGATGGCGACGCTACACCACAAGTGCTAGGCTTCGCTCCATCTCGAAAAGTGCCATCTTGAGGTCAACCCTCAGGTTGAAAACTGTTCAGAGACAGCAGAAAGGGGCGAACAAGTTTGCCCTGCTCAGGCGGATGCTGTGTCCAGACCAGCGGTGTGTCGTCGTTTGGGACCCAGGTGTCCTTCTCCAAGTAGTAGGCCTGGCAAATGTGCTGCTGTTGCCATCTCTACGCTGCTCGATGCTTCCCTACATAAAGCCCGAGTGCAAGGAAGCCCGGGAAAGAGCGGAAGGCAGCAGCTAACTGCAGGTGACTGGTCGTGCCTGGAGGCCGCAACACAGGTGAGTTAGATCAGCGGAGATCCAGCTCCCCAGTGGACGGTGGGAAGGAAAAGCGGCAACAGGCCCAGCAAGCAGACGTAAGTGCAGGTGGATGGAAAGCTGCCAACAGTCTGGGGGTTTGAGGTTCGAGCGTTTTCACGCAACAAGGTCAAGGACTGCAACAGCGGGTCTGTCGCCACCTCCGAAGCTTCCCTGATGCGGGTCGCACTGAGGCTGCCCAAGGTGCGCTGGACCTGTTGGGCTTGGCAACGCCCACGTTCAGCCATCCTGCGTCCGGGTACGAGTTGAAAGCATGCAGCGCTTCTTCGAGTGCCTCTACGCATCGAACGTTCGGGGATATCATGTGGGATGTTCGGAAGTGGTCCAACAGAAAGACCACTTCACAATGACATTCCCCATGGAAAGGTCTCTGCGGCGGGGTACACCCACCCCACCCTTGTTTGAAGCGAAGAAAGCTGAATGTGCTGTGAATCCATACGACACGCATGGGCTTCGCTATTGTCTGTGTAATGGTTCTGTCATAGAAGCTAGCATCTGCAACTAGGCGCTCCCGACCTAAGCACACGCAAGCCTGTCCCCTGAAGGCGTTGAAAATTCTGCCGCTGTTGCGGCAGGAATCCCATTGCTACAGTAGCGTCCTCTTGCGCCGTCTTCCAGAGAATTGTTCGAAGGCATCATGATGCATCAGGCAACAAAGATCCCAAGACTGGGAACGCTGCAGCATCTGCACGTCGCATTCCACAGCCCGTGCCTCTGCACAATGCCATGGGCCATAGGGACACGAATCCCCAGTAATGGCAGCCAGAGACCTTGCATCTTCACTGACGTGATGTGGGGCTTTTGAGGCAGACTGACGCGCAGTGTCTTGAAGCAAGCTGGTGAAGTTGCGCCTTGCCAGAAAGAGCTGCTGCAGTCTCAGGTACTTTGAGTCCTGCTAGATTTGCCAGGAGCCCAATCCGGCATACAGAGCATAATGATGCAAATGTATGGCCATCTCCTTTGTTTTCTGGTACATGCGGCCATAGAAGGCGCTGACCATCCTCGGCAATGCAGGTTCTTAGCATATCAAATGGGATGGCAAGCGCCTGCTCGCACCCGCTGCTTCACACGACCGAAGTAGCTACCAAGAATCGGATCAAACAAGCACCACTGGGCTTCTTCACCTTCCTTCAAGAGCCTCAAGGCGCAACTTCACGAAGAAAGAAAAGGACACTAGGGGAAAATGGTAACCACAACCAAGAGTAGCCTATCTCTTTCTTTGAGCTCTTCATCGGTGAAGTGCTTCGTCGGATCGTCTCCGACCTTTTCTTTATAGTCCTGCTGTCAGCTTTCGTGAGTCTTGTCGTCTGCGTCCACGCTTGCAGCTGACACCGCGGGAAAAGTCCTTGCACCAGTAGCTATCCTGGCAAAAGCTTGGCACTTCAGGCTCGCCATGTCATGTTTAAAACTTTTCGCCACTTGACGCATGAGCATAGTATGCATACTCAACTTTTTTCCACTGACCCTACGCCACAACGCACGCTGCTGGCCTTCCTGTAGCGGCACATGCCAATATGGCCCATCACCTCCACATCTAATCGAGACCATCAAGCTCTCGCTTGCAAGATTGGGCACGAAGGCTACCTTCTTCAAGCGGTCCATGATTTGAAGCGCTGCTGCATCATCAACCACCTTTTGCGGAGGGAATGCGACAACATTACACCCATCTATCTTACCCAGCCTCCAGGGGATAGGCTAGGAAAACGGTCGCGGAGTCGGAATCTCTTGCCAGGTCCGTGGGGAAAATTATCTCCTGCACCAAACTCATGGAATGCTCAGGTAGCATGCCGTGGCCACACAAGGCGGCTTTAAGCGCAGGGCATTTGGAAGAATTTTCGCCAACGCGGACTAGGCCAAGAAGGCGGCCACACAACCGAGGCAGAATAGCAAAGCCCTCCTGCCTGGAGATTGGACTCCAAGACGTCTAACGTGTCGCTCTTGCATGGTGGCAGGAAACCATCCCTGGCAGCAACCTGAGAAAAATGTGTGCCACGCAACACTCCAGGCTACGCGCCTTTTCAACAGCATGATGTCAGTAAATGTCAGTAAGCCATGTCCCATGACTTGCCTTCTTGAAGAGCTTTACCGCTGCCAGTGGGGGCCTGAGGACTGAATCTGTCCAGAGCCTACTAACTGTAGTTATAACCTAAATAAGAGTCCAATAACTATAGTTACCCTAGATATAA